CCATTTTTTAAAATTTAAAACCCAAAAAATTAAAGGGTTAACATAAAACCCATTAAACCTTTTTTACCCTTATAAAATTTTCAAAAACCCAAAAATTCCCCAATAAAAAATCCCCCCCCCCCCCCCCAATGTTATCGACGAGTCAGGAAAAAGAATAAGTCAACGAATCGGGACGATACCATAATTATAACTTAGGGATTTTTGTGCAGAGAAGTCACTCGGAATAATAAGTTCTTTCTTTTGAAAGTGCTATGCAAAATCAATATTTTTTTACAAGATTCACAAGAAGTGAAAAAAGTAAACATAATAAATAAAAGTAGTGAGGATCTATAATATATTATTCTGGAGTCGAGGTATACCATAAACACATCATCAAACACATAATTCTTTCGATACTGTGCATTATAACTCAGTCCATATCGCAATATATCGACGATTTATCAATATATGTATCACAGATAAAAATTTACTTTTCTCACTAAATCGATTAAATGAGTTATGGGAGTTCCTGCTCTCTCAGTGATAATTAATCAAATGCTCTATTGCTCTATGATAAGTAAAACGGACAAAAAAGCCAAGAAAATAAAATATTATTATAACAATAGCTGCAACAACTAGTTGGTCAAGATAAGATTAAAGAACAGTAGATTTCTAGTAGAGGAGAACTTTCAAGAAGTAAAAATATCGCCATATACTGATTATGAGTACATGCTCACTAGCAAAGAGAAAACAAAAGAAACATGTTGTAATATGTCTTATTCGAATAAAGTCTGTTTTCAGTTTTTATCGAGGAGGGCATGTTATTCCATTGACGGAAAGAATATGATCTTGCACTCTTGAATTAGATTAAATGTTGTCTGACTGTTAAACCAGAATTCAGTTTCGACGCATCTTGATTATCAATATCAAAGCCAAACATCTCAATTTCAGCTTCAATTTTCTCAGTTTTAGCTATTTAGAAAATTTATTATTCTATTCCGTATTCTCAGTCGTGGAGTAATCTTTGAATTTTCTTTTTCTGTTTCATGTAAATCATCATGTCACTGCCTTTCTATTCCTTTCGCGATTTATAAATACTTTTCTCTTGCTCATTGACCTTTAGTCTGTTGTCACCATCGGCTTAAGCCCTATGAACGATTTCCGATCATTCGTCTTAGTATATCAGTCTGCGCATACGCGTTTTTCACAACACATTTAAAAATTCGAACACGCAGGCTGCTCTCATTTGAGTGAAAACAATGTCTTTTTGGATATGAAAACTAAATAACAACCGAATCATAATTCAACATCTCTAGAACACATCTATATCACCTCTCCAACTATAATGAAATTTGAACCGCAAGTTTCTTTCGTCAATCTTTATTGTAATTTATCTTGTTGTTTCTCTTCTATTAGTGAAAAAGGCAGATTTTACGTTTTTTATGAAAATGCATGAGGGAAAGAGAAGAAAAAAAGCTTTTGATCCTAAATATTTTCTGTTAATCATCCATCTGATTCATACACTTCTCCCTCCCTCCTTGCCGTCGAGGCTTCTGTATAACTAAGTTCCTGTCATATTTCTTTTGTGGAAAAAAAATCATCCTGTTACCGGTACTGTCATGCCTTCTATTCAGAAAACGAACGAATCATTTAACTTAGATTCTAAACATTTATTTGATTCAGTTATTATTGATTATAAAAACAAAGTGAACAAATCAAAAGTGAAATGGAACCGCCTAACAAAAGGCGATTACCATCAACACCAATTATTTGTAACACAACAAACATAAATGAAAATATACAAAACTCTGAAAGTTTATTTCATCGTCTTTTAGAACAACAACAACAGCTACTCTCACATCAGAGTAAATTAATCGAATTAGCGTCGACAATTTTACCTACATCGACGGTTTCGACTGTCTTATCTCCTCCTCTTCAACCGAATTTGAATGAATCGTTTTTATCTGATAACATAAAACAAAACAATTCATCATCTACCTCGGCTATACATTCTCAGACAGACAGAAATACAACAGTACCAGCCTCAAATTCATAAAAGCTATCTCAACAACAAAGTACAGAACAGAAGCAGACAAATTTGATTTCGTCAAGTTCGTTTGTTTTTCCTCCTATCACTTCTACGGTGAAACACAAACATTTAATAATCGGTGATAGTTTGATCAGACATATCAAATCAAAAGATTTATCAAATGGTGAACTAAATGTACGTCTAAGAACAATCCCTGGATGTAAAATTGATCAATTAAACGAATTTATTTATTTTGATGAATTAAAATATCTACTAGTGAATGCAGACAGCGTAACTATTTTTGTTGGAACTAAAGACATTTCGCTACGCTATCAAACTCCAGAAATTGTCGTATCTAAAATGAAACAATTGAAAGAACAAATTAAATCAAAATATTCTAATATAAAGCAAATCAATATTATCACTGTCCCTTCTCGATATGATAAACCGATTTTAGCAAAAATTAAACGTTATAATTCAATGATATCATCTGCGTTTGCAAGTGATAAATCTATTAAAACGCATGAAATTGATTTAGCTAAACATCATTTAAAAGTCGATAAATTACATCCGAACGGCAATGGAATCGAACACATTACAAGTAGATTAAAAGACATACTTTAGGACAGAGGCAGTTCTTCTGCTGTTTTTTCTTGTCTTGCGCAAAGTGTAAATCAGCTACAGCCCACGGTAATGTGTCACAATGTTGAAGGTTTGGGAGGAAATGTCGATGCTTTGAGGGCCTTTGTTGCTCAGCATAGTCGTCCTCATGTTGTTCTTTTACAGGAAACGTTTTTGACAGATGTGGTTGAGGATAAGGAAGTGAGCATAGTTGGATACAGCTTATGTCGTAAGGATCGAGAGAAAACAGATAGTACGAATCCTAGAGGAGGAGTAGCCGTATACATATTAGATACAATGTTGTTTTCTTTTGTAGCATACTCTGCTGAAGTTGAATGTCTTCTGCTTTCTTCTACTATTTAGTGTACACTGGTATTTTTGTGTTGTTGTTATCGTAAGCCCACCGCCGAGAAAGACTACTATGATAAGGTTTCGGATTTTCTATTGAAATACGTAAGTGGTGCAAAATCAGAACTAATTTTTGCCTGCGATTTTAACTCAGACGAAAAATCTGAACCAATGTTATTTCGTTCTTTGTGTGAAACTGTTTCCTTATTTTCTTTAGTTCCTTCAACTATTAGTTCTACAACTAGAGGTGGTACCTGTTTAGACAATGTTTACTATTCTTCGTCGTGGTTTCCACCGTCTGTCTCTATCCTTGATGCTTTAGGAAATTCGTACCACGGTACTCTACTTTGTAAACTTCCCTCTATTTCTGTTGCGCCTTTATCTGGTGTACGAAAAGTTAGAGATTTTAAACGAAGTAATTGGGATAGTTTAAGAGGTAGTATTTCCTCCTCAATGAATTCTTTACTTTTTACCGACGACGTTAATAGCTTGTTAAGTGATTTTGAGGTACTTGTTGAAAAGGGTATTGAAAATCATGTACTCCTCAAAATTCTTAAATCAAAATCAAAGTGATTTTTTAGACCAAGTAAAAATTATTATGTAGCACGTCGTCAGAGAGACAAACTTTTTTCACAGATAAAAACGAAACCATCTTCTCTTTCTACAGCTTAACTTCACTCTGTTAGAAATAAGACATTAAGAGAATTAAAGCTTAGTAAAAGTAAACATTTCTCAAAGTTAGCTGATAAATTCACGTCGTCACAAATTTTTTGGAAAGGTATCAACAACGCTAAGGATGGTAGCACAGATCTACCAGCTACAGTACTTTTTGATAACAAAAAAGCTAGTTGTGACACTTCAAAAGCTAATTTGTTTAACGAATTTTTTGGAAAATGTTTTGTGCCAAAAGCTGGGCCTTCTGCGAAACCAAAAATTTTTAACGATACTTTATTCTTATTCCACCTACTAAAGAGCAAATTTTTGTAGCAATCAACAGTTTAAGAGACGATGTTGCAGCAGGACCAGATAGAATAACAGTGCATTTTCTTAAGCAATATATGTTAGAGTTTCTTGACGTCATTCATTACTTATTTACTCTTTCTATTCAGCAAGGTGTTCATCCTTCCAGGTGGAAGTTTGCTGACGTAGTACCAATACATAAGAAAGGACCAAAAGCTCTTGTCGACAAATATCGTCCAGTATCTCTATTGTCAATCATAAGTAAAATTTTAGAAAGATTTATTTACGACCAGCTTTATTCTTATTTAAATAAACATAAATTTTTCTCTTCGACACAATTCGGTTTTCGTCCGAACTCTAGTACAGTGGACGCATTATTATATCTCACATCAAAAATTTTTAACAATCTAGAGGAAGGAATAGATTCGGTTTTAGTTCTATTTGATTTTGAGAAAGCGTTCGACAGAGTTCCTTTTCAGATACTTTTGAGTCAACTTTCTGCGCTGGGAATAAAAGAAGATCAGTACAGATGGTTCGAGAGTTACCTAACGGAGAGAAAACAGAGAGTAAAGATTGGCTCTTCTTATTCGAATCTAATCAATGTACCGTCCGGCGTCCCGCAAGGTTCAATACTCGGACCTTTTTTATTTTTAATTTTTGTGAACGATTTACCATCTGTTACATCTACACCGGCTC